AGATATATCTGTGAAAGGCTCTTATTGATTCAGGTGACTGATGAATCTCTCAGGCTCTAGAAAAATGCAAAACAAGGCATATAGAGCTGCACCCGTAGACCCATGATTCCCAAATATATAAACTTCCACAATTCTGAAATCATGTTTATGATCTGACTAAATGTTCATGTTACTTATTTGAATTGTTTATTTCCTTTATAGTCTTTTACCTGTACTATTAACTTTACTGGTGCAACATGTGAACCTTCCTGTTTGGGATCAGGACACGTGTTATTTCCCATCTCAGTTTACTTCTCCTTTCTCACTCTCCACTTCCTCTACAGGTGTGATTGCTACACACAGGATTACAGCCAGCTCTCCAGATACAGACCTGCCCACAGTCGCAGGGCTGAGGGTGAGAGGACAAGTTTCTGCATGGCTGTAGGGTGGTGTCTAAAAATGAAAAGTGGTGGTGTGTGATTGAGGGCCTTGTGTAGGAGGTTATTATTTGTGCATGCAGCTGTATTAACACCAGTTTATTTTTTCAGTGCCTTTTAACATCCCCTCACTTCCCCATCACCAATTCCCCCCAATGTTCTTCTTCTTCTGCAGAAAATGGGGGTGAACCTGACAACGAGCAACAAAGAGGCCGTCAATAAGAGCGACGTGCTTTTCCTGGCTGTGAAACCTCACATCATCCCCTTCGTTCTGGATGAGATTGGGCCAGACATCGAGGACCGTCACCTCATCGTGTCCTGTGCTGCAGGTGTCACCATCAGCTCCATAGAGAAGGTCTGCCTCCTTCACCATTTCTCTCTCTCGCTGCTCTGTAATCCGCTCAGGCTTCTTGGACACTCCACCTTCTTATTTGTTTTCTGTCTCAAGTTATTTTTAGTGAAGTTGTTTTGTCATTAATCCGGAAGTAGAAATAGTTTTTCATCCTGTCTGTTCTAAATACCTATCCTCTGTTTCCATTGTTGTAATTTTAACAGAAACTGCTTCAGTATCGCTCAACTCCTAAAGTCATGAGGTGTATGACAAATACTCCGGTGGTGGTGAAAGAGGGAGCCACCGTGTACGCCACCGGGACACATGCAGAGGTAACAGAGATGGAAGCACTTGATGAGTCAAATAATTTATGAATGCATTAATAGAAAGTAGTTATTTATGTTTTTTAGGATATCAGTCTTTACTCATTCCATACTGTGTTATATGACATGTGCCATTGTTTGCCTGCACTTCAAATAAACTTAAGAGATAAAGAAAGCTGCACAGGAAGTGTTGTTTTTAATCTTGATTATCAGCATGTTTTCCTCCGCCTCTTAGGTTGAGGATGGCAAGTTACTGGAGCAGCTGATGGCCAGTGTAGGATTCTGCACTGAGGTGGAGGAGGACCTCATCGATGCCGTCACCGGTCTGAGTGGCAGCGGACCAGCCTACGTGAGTGACTGATTGTTCTGTGCTTGTCAGAAAAGTATGTGAGGTTAGCAGATCCACCCTGAATCCGAGAAGGTGTCACAGACTACAACTGTGTGATCTGACATGGAGGAAGTAATCTGTGTAATCCTTTTGAAATGTTGCCCAGTTGGTGATTACGTCATGTCAACAGTCACAGTTCGTTTAAAATCTTGTATCAATCGTCGTTCTGGTAAAGCTAGCATCATATTTCCAAACTCTTTTTGGAAGCGAGTCACTTATTTATACTAATGCTACTCATCTGAGATGCTGCCACTATTTATGTCTATTTTAAGCTTTCTGGGTTCACACCCAGTGTCTCAAGTAAGAATTATTTGTTTTCATTATCTATCACTCTTTAGATTCAATATTTTGTCAAAATCAATGACAGTAGTGATCTGAATTAAACAAACCGAAGAGTGTGGACTCACAATGTATTAAATTCATAATGAGAGTACTGATCTTCATAACTAAGCATCAAATAAATTATATTTTTATTTTACAAATCACAATTTTTTTTGTATGGATTGATTTAGTTGATTAATTAACAACTCATCTTAGCTTTTTACCCTGCAGTAAATACCAGGTGGTTGAGGAAATTAAAATAATTGAGTCTGTCAGGTTTTATTCTGTTTTCATCATTGAGCTTGAGATTCACGGTTTTTTGTTTTCTTCTCATTGTTGCTTTAATAGAAAAATATTTTTGTTTTTACAGGCATTCACGGCCCTGGATGCTCTCGCAGACGGAGGAGTGAAGATGGGTCTGCCCAGGAGACTTGCTGTCAGACTTGGAGCTCAAGCCCTATTGGTTGGTTGTGTGTTTATCTGTGTTGTGCCATGTTGTTTCTCCCTGAGTCGTGGGCAGTCTGTGTATCGGGATTTAATTGCTTCATTCAGTGTACCCAACATTTTTCTGTCTCATATCTGCTGACTTTAATTTATTAAAATTATGTAACCATAAAAATATCTAAGCTTGCATGTTATTCTGATGCAACAGAATAAATAAAGATGTTCTGACTTAAAAAAAAAAAACTAGAATAGCACAGTTTTTGAAATTGTAGTAGCTGCTTCAGACTCTCTTTTCAGCTATTTCTGTGTTACACATTGAAGATGAATGCTCTGCGAGTCTCCTCTTATTTGTGGGAAATGCTTACAGAAGGCACTGTAGTAGTAATGTTTACAGACTGGCACCATGTTGCCAAATCTTTGGTTTTGAAAATTTGCTTGGATTTGAGCAGTTCTACATTACACCTGTGACATCATGATGACAGAAAGATTTCCTTCCTACAAATCCTCATCTCCTGCGTTTCATTTCAGGGAGCAGCTAAGATGTTACTGGCCTCGGATCAGCACCCTGGCCAGCTGAAGGACAACGTGTGCTCACCAGGGGGCGCCACCATCCATGCCCTGCATGTTCTGGAGAGCGGTGGCTTCCGCAGCCTTCTGATCAACGCAGTGGAGTCTTCGTGCATCAGGACACGGTGAGAGACTTCTAAAAAGAAATGCAGATCGTACATGTACAACGCCTCCATCTCTTTGCTCCTGGGTGCTGAAATTTGCATAACCCCAGCAATTTTCTATCAAGGTTACACTTTTCTGTCTACAAAATCTGAAATAATGAGAAATATCCAGCAATTTAAAAAAATATGTTTTAGCCAAACTGTTGTACGATTTTTGCTCTCAATATGATAATTTTTTTATTCTATTCAGCTTTCAAGCCCATGAAGAACAGCTAAATTATACATTTTATATAATAGCAATACTATATTTTCTAATTATGTGCTTTATTTAAACGTTACACCATACATTCCAATACAATTCTCTCTTGAACCTACTCCAATGGCACATAAACTCTGATATTAACACTCAGGACTTTCTGGGCTGTTGGTATCTTCTTGCTTTTCATTGATAAACTTTATGGAAACGTGATACATACTAAAACCTTCATTTGTACTGTACACCTGACATGATGTCACAGAGAGCTGCAGTACCTGGCAGACCAGGAGCGCATTTCTCCAGCTGCCATTAAGAAAACCACACTGGACAAGGTGCTCCAGCAGCCTGGAGTCTCGGTCAGCGGAGTGGCTAATGGGAACGGCAGGTCAGGGCTCAACCTGTTCAACAACAACAATCGCGGCCCTGGGGTCCAGAAGAAGAACTGAGTACACAGAGGGGCAGGCACACACACACACACACACACACACACACACACATACACATGTTACAGGTTTAAGTATAGTGTTTGTACACATGGAGTAAAAAAATGCATAATATTCAGACATCGAAAGGAAACAGACTCAGGACTGGTCATGAAATCACATTAAAATTGCTTTGCCAAATCATTTATTCATACTTGAATGACTTTTGGACAGTGGACCTGATGGTGTCACTGCCAGTTTATACACAAGCACAAGTGTATTCTGGGTACATTGCTCACAGTTACAGCCTTATGTTGTGATACAGGATTACAGTCTACAATCACACAAATCCATATACACACTGAAGAGCAAAAGTGCATTTACAATTTGTTATCTGGGCAGTTGAACGGTGTTGAATGGTGATGACCCAGTGGGCCATCATGGGATCCTGGTACGCACTAGGCAGCAGATGGCTGCTGGGAAACATCAAGCTGTTTATGTCTTCAATGTCTACTTTCTAAAAACATGAAGCTACAATGTTAATCATGGTGTGTCCTTCTTTAGTTAGTGCACATATCTTTGTTTATCCAACAGTATTATGCTGTTAAAGACTGAGTATGGGTTGAACAACATTTTAACGTTTTTTTTTTTTTCTTACTGTTTTTATTATCATATAACACTACGGTCCTCATGGATAAAATACCTTCCCTGTGTGTGTCATTGGGATTTTTAGCACATTAAGAACATTGTGCCTTCGACCCATAACTTTTTCTCAACATTAAGGTCATTCCAAGCTTTAAACCTCTGATGTCAACAGTTTTCCTCGCAACCCTCTGTTAACATTTCATATGTTTTTGTTGTGCTCTAAGGACATTGTGGGTCTTGACCTGTTTTATCTTGAATCTTCAAAAGTTTCTTACCATGAAGGCCCTTTTTTGTGTTTTCTGTCACATCAGAATGTGATGTTATTAGCTGCAAGAAAGTCTATTTCATTTAAACAGCTTGCTGAAGAATATTTAAGTATGGTAATGAAAGCCTAAAATCTGCCACCAATCCGTCCTAATTGTGTCATTTGTATTGTTCTGTATATTTTTTTATCCCCATCAATGTTAGATGTTATGTACGCATTGATTCGGCATATCAACCTCTGAATTAGTGTGATTGACAGAAAGACTACATTAAAGAGGCAGAATCAAACACCATTGTTCCAAAGCTGGTTTGTCTTGAACTGAGTTACATTTCTACTGTTAAAGCCCTGCACTGTCCTCTTCCTTTTTACTGGCTCCACATGTTTTGTGTAGTAAATGTGTTCCTCTTGCACGAGAATTAACCAGATTGTTCTGTCAGTGAAGTCATTAACATGCACCCTGGCCTGCAGATGGTGCTGTGTGATCATGGACCATTTAAACATGTTCATGAAGATCACATTACACTTCACACAGCTGCCACTTCAGAGGGACTTAAAATTGACCCTGGCCTAAAATCAAATATAACCACACCTCCTCACTCATTGGTTCACAGCATTAACTGTAGCGCTGCAGTTACATGTTTCACCTACTGTCCATCCAAAACACTGGTTGGTCACTGCCTCTTCACAGAATCAGATTTTGCATATGTCATAAATAATAATGGTGAAAGTGTTTTTTCCTGGCCTGGAGATGCATTATGATTGGCTGATCTAAGAGGATGCACAGTCCAATTTTAGAAGCTGTCCGTCAGCAGGACATATGACCAGTGTGTGAGGACATGAATTCCCTCTGCTCCTCTTCGTCAGAGGTGTTCATGTCATTATTACCTAACCAGTTTAGAAACCAAGGGTGCTGTCAATGTTGAGATAACCTTTAAGTAAAAGTGCCCCATTATGAATAAAAGTGCTTTGTTTAATGTCCTAAATATTATCAGGCACTTTAAATCTTCAATAGTTTTTCTGCACAGAAATGCCCCAGTGGTCAATCTATTATTATATATATGACATTAGATTGTTATATGAATACATCATTGCTTTAGTGTTATAGCTGCTGCTCAATTAAACAACATGGGCAGTTGAGATAGGAAATTAGTGGAACTGTTAACAATTACCCATCTGAAATGTGACAAGCAGCCCAGAAGAGCCACTGCTTTTTTCTAAATGATCACTAGTCACAAAGTTGCTTTAATTTTGGCATGCATTAATGATGATGATTTTTATGAGCTTTAACCATTTTATTCATATAAACAAAATCGTATAATGGACACCATGGTGGCGCAAGAAGGATCCTCAAGCTTTCCATGTCGAGTTTTCATGTTCTCCATGTGTCTGTGGGTTTTCTCCAGGTAATCAGGCTTCCTCCCCACAATTTACACACTAGCTATTGTAGGATTAGTTTATTTTTCTTAAACTAACACACACCAGTGTCCCTTGATTAAATTGCAACCCACATGCTCTTAGTGCTCTTGGGCTGTTTATTTGTGCGTGCAATGGTTTTTCCTACGCCGCTGAAGTGTCTTGGTAATCCCTTTTTTATGCCATAAGGTTATTCTCCGCTTGCTCCTGTCGCTCTCTGTTAAGATTAGCCATTCCCGCGGAGACTTCCATTTGCCTCTCATTATTAGACTTCTGTTGCGGCGGCTTTAAGTGCCTCCATTCCGCCCAAGGTGAGGAGGCTGCGTTCTGTGTCAATCATTTTGACACCGGCAGAGCGTCTAAGATGGCAGTTCAGTGGCGGATAATCCTAGAGTTGGAAAGTTTGGACTGTGTGTGTGTGTGCGTGCGTGCTTGTGTGTGTTTGTGTGTTTGTGTGAGCATGTGCAAAATCCAGCCCAGCATGGGATTTCTGTCCACAGGTAGGCCAGATGCTACCTGTCATCTCCATTCAGTCAATGCAATCACTGACCTTTGCAACATGGTTGTTTGCATATCGTATCAAGGCCAGGAGGAGAGCCAGACACCAAGATGAGTACAGAGATGGAGAGGCTCTTTCTCTTCTTTTTGTTGCTCTCCTCCATCACCACCTCCTAGGGACATCTGCCTCATCATTTTTACAATGAAAAACAGACAAGCAAGTACAGAGGTGTTTGTTTGTAGTGGCGGTCGTCCATGTTCCTGTTTTAGTGTTTGTGCCCTGCAGTATCATCGTGTGTGTGTGTGTGTGTGTGTGTGAGAGAGAGAGATCTCTGGGCTGATACTGTATCAGTCTGGTGCAGCTGTCTGGTGGAACGGTTGCAGAAAAGAGGAAGCTCTTATTGTTACCACAGTCAGTGAATCTGCAGCTTGTGCTTCTCTTTGGTGCAAATGTGAAGTGTACAGGTCTCCAGGGTTCCTCTCAGGCGCACACACACACCTACCTACAAACACACACACCTACCTACCTACCTGTGTTCTACTGATGCTTTTGTGGGAATGAGACGTGAAAGTATTCAGACCACTTTACTTTTGCATACTTTATTGTAATTTTGCCCATCAGTCTACACTCAGTCATAATGATAATATAACTTTGTTTGTATAGCACTTATATAAATAATGTTCTAATGTGATTTACAAGATTTATGGGAATAAAACAACTCAGCAAGAAAAAGAACAAACTAAGAAGTTATGTAAAAGAAAACACTAAAAACAGACGACTTCTGTTAAAATCAAGCAATAAAAGGCTTTCCTATAAAATGTGTTTTAAGCAATGGTTTTAAAACAAATTTAGTGCTGGCAAGTTTAATCTCTTCCTGGCAAGGAGTTTGGAGCCTTAGGGTCCTAATGGCAGGAGCCTGGTAAGCCTGAGTCACTAGGCTTAACTTTGGAACTGCTACCAAGTGTTGGTTTGAAATAAAAAATAAAATAAATAAAAATCAAACTTAAATTTAACTGGCAGCCAATGAAGGGAGAAGTGTGAGACAGTGTTGATAGAGTAGATAGTGTTGATTAAAATACAGGCAGCAGAATTCCTCCCTGAAGCTGAGCAACAGGATGGACTGGTACATGTAAACATTGCATTGCAGTAGTCCAGGTGTGAGAAGACAAAGGTCTGAATAAGCTTTTGTTGGTCTGGAGAAGACTGACCTGGATGAATTTTGGCTTCATTCCTTAGGGAGGTTATTGACATGGACTTTTTAAAATGTAGTTTTGAATCAAATGTGGCTGTGGATTTCATGTTGCTTGCCAGTGAAACAATAAATGGTGTTTCTAACCAATAAAGAAAAAGACATTTATTTTTTTGAAATGTCTCATTCACAAAGGTTTTCAGACATAAGTCAGTATTATGTAGAATCACCTTTGGCAACAGTTACAACTTTTTTTTAAAGTAAGAATTCAATTGTTTAGAATCAACATTGCTATCTTTCACAGTGAGGCTATAACTATCACTTGCAACTTTGAGGTTTAAGTATGGTGCCATGCAATTGTGGAAACGAAACTTCTATATAGATGTAGACATGTTTTTTACACAGCTTAAATTGGTCAAATATACAAACACAGCATATATACGTTAAACTTTTTGTAAGACAAACTCAAATTGCTTCTTCAAATGTACAGATAAACCTGTAAATAAAGCTCAGATAAACGTTTCGGAGTAAAAAGTAGATTCTCTCTGTCTGAAATATAGTAGTGTGTAATGTGATGTTGCATAAACTTTTAATACTCAGCTCAAAATGCTAGAATTTTCCTCCAAGTGTTTCTTAAACAGCACTTTTGTGAACGTCACATCACTGTGTTTCTGACACAGCAGGTTTTGTGGGTTAAGTTTCAATAGTAAGGAAGTATGCTGTGGTGAAGGAAGTACTCAGCTCATTGAAACAAGTAACTGTATACTACAATGAACTACTATCTTACAAACAGTAGTATCAATATATAAAAAAAGTGCTGTATATTGTAATAATGGATATAAATATTGATGTTGTAGTTAAGGTTGGGGCTCATTATATCAACATGTATCTATTTGTTAATACATGTAAAATAACTAAAGCTGTCAGAGGAATATTATTGGGTAAAAATGACAGCATTAGCCTGAAGTGATGTGCAGTATAGTAGCATAAAATAAATAGCATTAGCACAATAAATACCTTTTAATAACCTCAAATTGTACTTCAGTATAGTCCAGTATAGCATTCTATCACTAAACTGCCAGCATATGGAGCATTTATAGTCCATGTGTTCCCACAGTGTGTGCAGGGTAAAGCTCTGCACTCAACAGACTGTGCTGATAAAACATCTGGAGGTCCTCCGGATGAAAAATTGCCAAAACTGCTTCCTACAAGTAAAAGCCCTTAAGATCCAGGAAACAGTTTTAAATCTATGTCTAAAATTGCTGTATGATTATGTTCTACACCTGTCTTTTTATGAGCAAAATTCAAGTGATATTTAAAAACTAATCTTTCCTCCCAGAGATTTACTCAAAGACGTCCAAGTGGAGTTTTATCAGTTAATGAATATGTAATACCACCTACTCTTTATCAATTGTGTGACATTATCTGGAAATAGGCTGCTAATATTGGTTGAGTGCTTACTTGAATGGAAACTCATTAGTTCCTGAGAAATGGAAATAGAATATTGATAAACAATTAGTTGTAATTGTTTTAGTGTGTTTTTAGATCGTCTTTTAAATCTGGATGGATGCTGTATGATAAATGATCTGCATCTAGATGTTCATGCTTTTCTTCAGTCAATCAATGAACTTTGCCACGAAAAACAGGAAATATGGGATTTTAAACTTTTCATGCATTCAGCTAACCAAATATAAAAAAGAGAGTTGGTTGTAAAAGTGCGACCTCAACAGAAAACAAACAGATACACTTAAAATAATGTTTCATATTAAAAAATGCTAAATCAGTATTACATATTAAGGCTATTAAAACTATTTCCAGATACAAATTCTTTGGAACTTCTTGGCCTGGGAAATGCTACATTTAGGTGGCACATTTTTTGTTATTGTGAAAAGTGATGGTTTGTTTTGTGGAAGCTGAGTCAGGAGATTTTTGTCATATTTTCATTTCATGTACTTTAAAGGGAAGTGACAGTGATAAAAATCTACTTGTCAGTTTTCTGTATGGCTACACAGCTTGAAAAAAAGTCCTTGAAGAAAGTAGAGCCACAATCTAAGTTTTATCAGCAGCAGTTTAACAAAGGTTTAATATGTATCGATAGAAAGGTTATCTATTGTTTAAGCACAGGTGGTATAAAAGCTCTACCTCACATTAGTCAATTTAATCTCAAAATATAAATATTTCTTGATCCTCTGTTAGTGAGTCTCTGCTCAGAAAGAAGAGTTTAAAACAAGCAAAACTAATAATTCTACATTTATCATGAGAACTTTTGATGTCAACTGATGTCAACAAATGATATGATATAGAATAGTATAGAATAGTTTCCCCCGTGTGTGCAGATACACATTTTATTTATTTGTTCTATTTGTTTGGTTTCTGTTTTTGCACATTCATGCTGTCCATTTTGGGGATTTGTGCACTTTCATAAAAAACACGAGATGAGACACTGCAGTCAAATCTGGAGTCAGATTCATTGAGTTGAGTGTTACTCGGTTACAGTGGGGCCATTGTTTCTCCAGCATCAGACGTGACTCCCTCTGTGTGTAGATGTGCTCAGAGGTGGGGCTGGCTCCTGGTCCCACTTCTCCTCTCGGGCTGTTGTTGTTGGAACAGTCCATCACACGGTAGTAGCGTCTCGTGTCTCTTTAAATGCGGGTTGCGTAGCCGCTTCATGAATGAAACCATGTGATCCAAACATCATTTGACGTCTGGCGCCTCCGACCATAAAGGAGTGGATGTATCTAAAGACCTGCGAGAAGGCGTGAGCGGAAAATAACATTCCTCCAACTGCCTCAGCTCTTCCCCGGGTCCACCAACCAAGCGGCGGAACCCCAACCTCCGAAGGTGCGGCGGGCGAACGGCGCCGGTTTGACTTCTGGGTGAGTCAGCTTTGTGCGAATCAAAACTCAATGTATTTTCTTGCAGAAAAAGAAAAACTGCTGAATATAGACGCGCTGTTTTGCTGAGTGTGCACGGCCGCCACCGACGAGTGCGGTCGCGTTGACGTCGCCGCTTGTCCCGTTCAGTCCGACTCTCTGCGGCCGCAGCAGCGGTGTGGTACTGCTGAATCATCACGATCCCGGTTCGTCATCCGGACCCGAACGTGCTCGACCGAGACCGGGGTCGGTCGCTCGATCGCCGACTTATCAGCCGGTGATTCCACAACAACACAGACAAAGGGGGAGTAGGCTACGTAACGTGCGGCTGTCAAGCTTAAGAAAGAAGCCATGTGTCGGTATTAGAGCACCGAGCGCCCCGTGCCGCTGCTACTCGCGGGGATTCCCTTGTTTTCTGACGACTAAATGACTAAATATCTAGAGAGAGAAGCGAAAGTAAAAACCTGAGCGTAGAGTCACAACTTATTAAAGAGGAAACCTTGGAAAACCACCTCGGTGCTGCCGTCTGCTCGGGGCGCTGGAGCGGCAGCGGCGGACTTGAGCTGCCGCGAGCCGCTGTCGCTTCGCCGCCTCTCGGTGTGTGCCCGCCGCCGCTCAGGTAAGAAGATGACCGGTCAGCTGTGGGTCTGTTTAACTGAGTCCTCTGACTCCTGGAGGGACAGAGTCTGGAGGCTGCTTGTTCGGTTCAGTGCGATGTGATGTGGGGGTAAATAAAAGAGAGAGGCAGCGACGACCACAGCTGTCATTGTGTTGCGAGAGTCCGGCGGTCACAGCTCCGCGTCCCGCGGCTGCTGCTGCTGCTGGGGACCGTGTTGACATTTGCTTTGTGTCAGCCAGGCCTCCACCGCCTCTATCCCTCCACATATACACGGTGCATTCACCCGCTGGTTAAGACGGAGGGAGCCGGTCTATTTCCTGGCGTGCCTCGATGTGCCGTACACCGGCGGCAGAGATGCTGATTCATCACAACGTTGTTATTTCTCAACGTTCGCGCGAGCGGAGCGGAGGCACGAGGGAGCCGTGGTAACATGGCACCGGCGGCGGGCGGACAAAGGTCTGGCGCGAGGGAAGGAAGAGCTCGGTGCATGGAAACCAACACGGGCCCGGTTCATGTGCGTGTAGCGGCGGGCTGACGGTGCACAGGGTGATCAGAGCTCGTGTGGGCTTTAAGAAAATTGTCGCCACTCCTGAAAACAAAAGATGAATTTCTCAGTGAGGTTTCATGCAGCTCGATCACACACCTCATCCTCGGTCAGGGGATTTAAAGCACATGGGGAGAGTGTGCGCGCAGGCAGGGTAAATAACACCCGCTGAATTATTTAGCTGTTCAACCCCCTATTCTGTCTTCTTTGGGGGGATGATTTCAATTCAGTTCTAGTTGCATAGGGGCAAATCACAACACTTTATATAGTAAAGATGAAAACTTGTGTGTGTGCCTCGACCGGTAGGTGAGAAATGGGGGAGGGGGGAAAAGAGGGGAGAGACGAGAGAGAGTGGGAAGAGAGAGGTGGAGAGAACTTGAATAAAACAAACCTCACAAGCAGACAAAGCAATGACTCCTGCTACCCTTGATATGCTCATTTTTAATTCAAACCCAATCTGAAAGTGTGCAAGATCTAACATTGACCTTGTGTGTGTGTGTGTGTGTGTGTGTGTGTGTGTGTGTGTGTGTGTGTGTGTGTGTGTGTGTGACTATAGTTATGATGGCCAAATTTGGTCCATACCATCATTGTGAGGACATTATGGCTGGTCCTCACAAGTTTAAAGGGTTGTTTGAGGATTAAGATTTGGTTTTAGGGTTAGAATTAGCTTAGGGTTAAGGTAAGGGGCTAGTGTGTGTGTGTGTGTGTGTTTTTGTTTGTTCGTGTGATAATAAGTTTGAATAATGTGGTCAAACACAAATGACAGCTGGGGGGAAGGACACCTTTCCGTTGTGGTTAATGCTGGACACTGACTGCACATGAACCCACACAGGGACCTGCATGTGCTAAAAAAAGCTAGCGCCTCATTGAACTATATAACGTCCTGCTGCAACAGAAGCTGCTCTGATCGATCTCCTGTAGCCGGGCCATTATGTGCTCGCCCGGTTGTAACCTATGAGCGTTGCAACTCTTAAACACTGAAGAGTAATAGGGAAGCTCTGTGGGCACAAGAAAAACAGAAACTTCACCCCCTAATGACTCCATATCAGCAGCTTTAGTTCGAGTCAGCACTCTGTGGAGACTATCAAAAGTATGTAGTAAGCAAGTTGGCAAGTACTGTAATAGAGGGTCATAATGATGAAACAGTTGTATCAGTATTGGAGAGAAGAGCACCCCCCAACCCCCCTTACTCTCTCTCTCACTCACACACACACACATTTCTCCCCATTTCCTTTTCTCATTGCCAACACACACACACACACAACCTATGGGCTAAGCTTTTTATACTTGGTATCAGTATTTAATCAGTGCTTGAAGTGCATTTCTCTGTCAAGTACTTTCCCCACTTCCCTGGTGTTCATGGTAATTGAACGCTGACCAATGCTTATGTGTGCAACTTTGCTGATGGTGGCGGAGCGGCAAGGCGCACAGAGCAACGGGGATGAAGGAAGAGGGAGGAAGAATGAGAGATGGGATTTGCGGAGAGATTGAGAACAAGGACCTTTTTGTCTTCAAGGCATTCCCCTGAAAATGCTGAGGCGAAGCAAATGCGCTCTCGCTTGACAGATGGCGTTTTCACTTGTTACTTACCACAGCTAGTTTCTTTTGCCTTGTGTCGTATGTGTGTGAGAGGGAGAGAGATAGACTGTGTGTGTGTGTGTGTGTGTGTGTGTGTGTGTGTGTGTGTGTGCAAAAAGTGTAAGAGATACGACACCTATCAAGATCTAGTTGCTGTAGGGACTGCAACTAAGAGAGCAAAGTAAGCACCAAGGTTAAAAAGTGTGTGTGTGTGTGTGTGTGTGTGTGTGTGTAGACATAGCAATGGGAAGTAATTTTGCTATCAGTTGGCCATTACAACATTTTGCACTTGACAGTTGTTTCCTTTCTGTCATTTCCCCTCTGAAGTCTCTATCCTCAAGAGAAAGTAATGAGTGTAACATCAGTCTGTTTGACCACATCAGAAAAGTGTGTGGGTGTGTGTGTGTGTTTTTGTGCTCATGTATCCTTGTTTGATTCCCTGCATTGGGGTTATAGGATGAACAGGAAGAAGTAATAAGAAGTAAGAGATTATTTATGTTGATAAACTGATTGTTTGGAGAATCAATCGGTCACAGCTTTCATCTATAAATTGATATTTTTATAAACACAAAAATGTTAAAAAAGGGAGTTTAATTAGTGCAACGTGACAGTTTCATGGATTTGGATTATTGGTCAGACAAAACAAGCTGTTGGAACAGTGTCAGCTTGGGTCAAAGGAGACTGTAATGGACAATTTATAGGACAATTGCTTATTGAGAAAATCCCAGTCAGATTAATTATTGTGTATTGTTCTAAGAACGTATTGCTCTTGTCTTTGAAATATGTGGACCAGACATGGTTATCAAACAGTCTGCGGTGTTCTGGCACTGTCTAATTCCTGGAGCACCTTTCTCTTTTGGACATTTTTGCCACTTGAAAATACTACAGCCCGCCACTGTGGCGGTGATAATGTTCTTTTGTCTAACTCAAGTGTGGGTTTCATTCTGATTTGACCTGAGTTTCGGTCCTGCTACACACACCGTGACAATGTTTTATTTAAAACAAGATGAATTGGGATACTGTCACTGCAGCCGTTAGCAAAAACTTACTAAGATTCATTATCCATGAGTATCAGTCAGGTGTTCATTCAAGTCTATTATTCTGAGCTGGTATTTAATTATCAATCACTTTTTGTTATTGTGCACCATCACATTGAAACATGCTCCCAAAATTATATCTCCTGAAGATGCTTTACAGCGGCAGCATTTATTGCAGGGTTGTAGTGGTGGATTGCATTAGATTGCACAGGTGTTCACAGTATTGTGTCCACCTCCCGTGCCTGTCTGTCTGTCTGTGTGTGTGTGTGTGTGTGTGTGTGT